TTTTTCGAAAAATTTGGTGATGCTGGCAATTTTTGTCTTCTATTTGCAGAAGGTGGTGTACAGTGGAGGCAAAGCTGCAGAGGAATTTACTGAAACAGAATACTACAAGGATCTCAATGGTGTTGACAAGCAGCATCACACAGTAGGTTTAAATGAAACTGCTAATCTTGAATTTTTGATAAGAGATCCACATGATTTATTATTATGCACTGTCAAATGATGAACACAGATTATCGTGTGAGGCAGTGTAATTGTTAGGCGGGTTCACTTGTGTCATACTTTATGTTAACAAAATGCATATGTATACTTATCAATTGCCATATTTTTGTTTATGTTGCCTTTTAGAGTATGACGTATCTCCACTTGAAAGTATGTATATCTGTTGAAAAGTTGTTTGAATTTGAAAGTATGCATACAGTTTTGTTATGGAGTCATCGGATGGCTCGACTTACGGAGTCATCCATAGTTATTCACAAATAGTGTATTGACAAGTGTTGCATTAAATACATATTGGACATATGTCAGTCCATAAAGTTATGAATGACTCTATAGAATTATCGAGTATGTATATATGTTGAAAATGTTGAAAAACTTTGGTAAGTTTGAAAGTATGTATATTTGTTGAAAATGTTGAAAAGGTTGTTTGAAAGTAAGTATATCTGTTGGAAAAATTTAGTTGGCTAGTTGTTAGATTTGTATGAAACAAAATACTACAAAGATTTCAATGGTGTTGACAACCTTTTAGGTTTGAGTGTGTATTAACTGAACTAAAAGAGAACTCTTAGTAGGAAGGACCATACAACTTTCTTTTCTTGGTTGATTATGGCAAATGCTGCACGTTTAGAATATATACAGTGTTAATGAATTTTATTATCCACAAATATCAAACTGCATCAAGTATAAAGTTGTACCCAACAGTAACCAAATTTAGAGTATTGGGTTTTCATCCAAAAAGTCACAAAAGATGAGACATTTTGTTTTTGTAAATAATAACCCTTGATGGAGTTGTATATCACTTAATTTAAATTATAATATTGGTACTTTAATGGTTTATTGAAAAAGTCCGCAAAATGATTGGATATAAATTATTTCTGAAAAAAAGAAAATTGTTTGAATGTAAATACTGAGTTAAAGAGTAAAAAATATATTATTGTGAAAGAATAAAATATGTTTGTAACTGTGAATAAATATGAGATAAGATGTAACTATTAAGTTAATATGATGAATGATAGTAAATAAGTAAAATAATGAATAATAATGATTGGAAGTTTAAAATTATATAAGTTGTTAAGTAGTGAATTTTATTGAAAAATGTATAATAATAATTGATTTTTATTATTTTTTGTATTAATATATTGAGGAGAAAAAAGTGGGATTAATGAATAGTGGTTAAAAAAAAGGAAGAAGAATTGTATCAACTCTTTGGAGCATCTACAATGTATTGGGTTTAGTTTTGCCTATGTGTCATAGAAATAAACTCTAATAAGTCTTAGATGACATGAATAAAATTATATAAAATTAACAAAATTTACTCCAATGCAAGAAGACTAAGTCTCTACTTGGGTCTAAAATAGATTTAAGGATAGACCGAGTCTTTTTTGGTTTCAGTCCACTTGCACTTGCATAATTTGGAGAATATATTTTTCTAGACTTAATCTATTTCCTAGATGACATACAAATTTTTTTAATTGAAACCAAAACATTGTGGATGTGGAAAAAATTATAGCTAGACGAAACTAAAAGTATTTTATATCCTATCTCTTTGGGGGTCACTTGAATAAGACTTTTTTTTTTTAAAGAAAAATCATCTCATATGATTAAGTAAATAAAAAATAAACTAACGATTATAGATGTAAATTAATAAAAATATAATAATTAAAGTTGATGTGATATAAAAATAATAAAATAATAATTTATAAATTAATAGTTAGAATACAGTGAAAGATTTTTTTTTAAAAAAAAAATATAACAACTATTTTTTTATTATGTTGTGAGATTTGTACAAAAGTGATATGAAATGAATAGCAATTTTTATTTTTTTATTTTTTTTTTGTTTTAATTTTAGTTTCAATGCAATAATTTCAGCTAAACAGATAAAAATAAAAAAATAATATCCACATAATCTAAGCCAGAATCTTATTATGATAAAAAACTAATCATTCCATATATTTTTGGACAGAAATCAAACCACATTACATATTAAATTAGATATACCGTATTTCTAAAGGTTGAAATATTCTCAAAGCCAATATAAGCAATTTAATATAATTAAAAACAAAACCAAATTTAGTTAAATTACTAAAAACTCTACTGGATTAATTAAAATATAACCATATTTGGCCGTTCTAACCATTAAACAACATGCTTTTTTTTTTTTATATATATTTTATTAAATTTATCATACCTAAAAAATGACTAATATAAAATATGACGTTTAATATTTATATAAATATGATTTTTTGTTAATATATGACTTGGCTAATGTTAACCATACCGCATAAAAATAATACAATAATAGGTGATAAATGATATAATGTCGTCGAAAGATTTCATTTCATTTTCACATTTTTTTTTTCCTTTTTCCATCGATTTCCAAAATCCCTCCAAGTTTACACTCAATCCATGACTTTTCCTAACGTACAGTTGTATATATATCTGTAAGTATTCGAGTTCGTGTTTCATTTGAGGTTTATTTGCATATACAGCTCAAGTGTGTGAAGATTCTATAGATTCAAAGAGGGGAGAGGGTTGGAGCGAAGATAGGTAGGGGAGAGAAGAGGAAAATGGCGCCGATGGCAGCGGCGTCCGCGGCGGCGATGCAGGCCGAGCAGCTCAGGCAAGAAGGCAACGCGTACTTCAAGAAGGATCGATTTGGGGCCGCCATTGATGCTTACACCGAGGTAAGATTCTTGTCCTTGGCCGGCGATGGTGTATGATGGTACCCTATCGTAACTCTTTGCTAAAAAGATTGATTTTTATTTTTTTTCGTTTGTTCCTTTTTTTCTCTCCTTCACTTTTAGGCTATTGCGCTGTGCCCTAATGTCCCGATATATTGGACGAATCGGGCTCTGTGCCATCGTAAACGGAAGTATGTATATGATCACTTACACAGTACACTTGCTGTGATGGTCTTGATTGTTGAGTTTTTTGTGAGAACTTTTGGTTTTAATTTGTTTGTTTGAGAGATTTGCCTTTTTTTTTTTTGGGTTTTATGTGGTTTTGGTTAATAGTGAATGGGCAAGAGTAGAGGAGGATTGCAGGAGGGCGATTCAGCTTGATCACCATTCGGTAAAGGTGCAGTCTTTTGATCTTTGAATGTCATCCTAACTAAATTTTTGCTGTACTTAGTTTCATAGTTTCTGTTTTATTAGTTTCATAGTTTCTGTTTTCTATTGCATTGTTTTTCTTGGGGTTTTGTGTGATTCCCTTCTCAATTTATCTCGATATTTGTACAAAAGAGTGAAGCACGATTCGGGTGTGCTAGAAAAATGTGCCAAACATGTGGGAATACAGATAGTTATGGTTAACTAGGATTCTTTGATCTAGTTTCCATTTATATCATATATATGTACTACGATTTCTATACATTTGAGGACTACATATGTCACAGTTGGGAGATTCAGTTTGGGAGTTTGAGAATATGGGCTCTCTGCGTGGAATGAGTGGGATAAGATGGTGTATAGACTGTAGAGGATGAAGTCAAGAAGGATTGGTGTGAATGATAATGTTATTGTATACTACATTCTGCTAATCTTCTATGAGATGCTTCTGGAAGGGGAATATATCCTCTTCAACACTTGGGGGCATATGCCTCGTGTTACCTGTGAGTAAAGGATTCCTTTTCGTGTGTGGCATATCTGTGTAAATGCGAGTTTGTATCAGTCTGTTGTCTGATTTGACATTGACAGGCAGAGGATATAAAGTACTATAATCATTGCATAGTGAAATTGTGCAAATTGTAATTACTGTAAGTTGAGTATAAATCATTGCATTTGAAATCGGAATGATGTATAAATTGTGATGTCGACCTCAATTTTTAGATATCTGGTGGAGTACCCTCGGCCTTTAGGATTAAATGACGTCATAATAAACTGTCATGACATAAATATACTTGAAATTTATTTCCGGTATTATTACTGACCTGGGAATTTCTTATCTGTAAGATTTGGGGAAACTGAGGTATTGTAAACTTGAAACACTTCATTTACAGTGCTAAATATCGCATAATGCAATAAATATTGGTTTTTGCTTTCTGGATGAGAAGAGTAATAACTAAAATATTCCTTAATGTTGCCATCTCTCTGTTTAAGAGCAATAACTAATGGATGAGGTTCCTGTAGCTTAACTCTTTCAGAAGACGAATATTTAATTCTCTATGTGAGTTAACTTTTCAAACACGTTGGTCATATCTGATTCAGATACTCTGTAAATACTGTTGTAAATGTAGAGGGAAGTTTGCGTAGGAATTGAGGCATAAAAATGCTGATGATTATTGATTTGCTACCATTTTGGAACTCAAAGTGACGTATAAATTGTAATGGCCTTTAATTTAATGATTTAAACTAACAGTAAGATGAAGGAAGCTGTAGTAATCAATGATTTCTTTTTCTCTAATGGAAGATATGCCGTTATGAGTGGTCTTGCATTTTTCTTTTGGTAAGCAAGCTTATCTACGGATAGATAATAAATTTGCACTGTTGTTTTGTTAATATATAATTGTCATATTGGCTGTTTTCAGTCATTTGTATCATCAAAGTCATTTGAAAGAATGTATGTACACTCACACAGATATTTCTTTAAAGATACTAAGCAGATCCCCGTGTAGTAGGCAGTCTCTTTTGCTTGGTCCTGTACATTGGTTACACGATTAGTTATTAGCTTGGTTGCAACTTGCAAATAATCCTAGTTTAGTTAGCTATGCTAGATATATATATTTTACATATGTATAATTGTTTTCCCACACTTGATCCCAGTTTAGTTGAATTTTCCTTGTACTTTCTAGTGTTTTATTAGAATTGATTGAGGTTAGGAATTTTAGCAATAAGACCCATTTTAGGTTTAGTCAATCCAATATTTACTCTTTATGAGTGAACTAGATTAATTCAGCCACCTTTACATCCTGGCTCGGATTAGATCCATTTGAGAATCTGAACCAGACCTCTTCAACTTACTTGCTGACAAATTAGAAAATAGTGAATAATTAACGACTAGTAACTCTAAACTCAAAGTGCTTCACATTTGCAGGCCCACTATATGCTTGGTCTCGCACTTCTACAAAAGAAAGAATTCACAGAAGGTGTCAAAGAATTGGAAAAAGTACGAAGTTTTCATTTCCTGAATATTACTTCCAGGTTAATTAAAGTTGTAATATATATGCGAGAACTTTATTATTCAGATATATTGATCTATGGATACACTAAAATATCTATCTGGAGCCTGCTAGTGTTAATTAAAGTTGTAATATTCTGTGAACTACTCACGAACAGTTCCTACTTCCATGCTTTCTACTTGTGGTGTTTTTTCTGGAGTATATGTATTAACAGTATGTGATATTGATATGTGTAAAAGTGGTGTCCTTAACTCATTGTTAAAAAAAATGAAAAAAAATAACTCTGGCATTTATTGAAGATGGTCTTAGTTGTTTTAGTTGTAATTTAACTGTCCTAGGCATTGGACCTTGGGAGGGGTGCAAATCCAAAGGGGTATATGGTAGAAGAGATATGGCAAGAGCTTGCACGAGCCAAGTACTTGGAATGGGAACATGAGTCCACTAAGCGTTCTAGCGAACTTCAAAACTTAAAGTAACCTTTTTTTTTTCGTGCTTTGTATTTCTTTATAATTTTTGTTTTGTACGTGTGTGTTATCTTTATTGAGTATTACATGGTATTTTTTATTTTTTATTAGTTTACTTTTCATGAATTGGATTGCTTACCATGTATTATCACAGAGTTTGGTGTGAAGAAGCTCTGAAGGAGAAATATGCCCTTAATGGTTCTCAAACTGAAGGTTTAGTAGATGAAAATACTCGCAAGTCTAATCAAAATCGGTTGGAAGCTTTAGACCGAGTTTTTAACAAAGCTGCTGACAATGACTCTCCAACTGAGGTGAGCCTCAGCTTTGGTGCTAAGTATGATTAAGGTTTATTGTTTAAATTTCAAAACAAGTGAAATTAGGTGTAGCTTAATTACAACAAATCAGTTGATCTTGTTTTTACTTTTTTTTTTTCTTTTAAATTAGATTCATCCCATTAACATTTCTCTCTCTCTCTCTCTCTCTCTCTCTCTCTACAACCTCTGTAAATTTCACTCGATAATCTTGTAATTTCCTTACTCGATTTCTCTCTTGCATTTCTTTCTTTGTTTCTTTTTTACGTTAATCATTTCAGGTGCCGGATTATCTGTGCTGCAAGATCACCTTAGACATTTTTCGTGACCCTGTAATTACTCCTTGTGGGGTTACATACGAAAGAGCTGTGATCCTAGAGCACTTGCAGAAGGTAAGCTCGTGAAAAGCATTTGTTCGTTTATATTATTTTTCTAAAACACTCGGTTTTGACTTCAAAATCTGAAACTTCTTATCTAGGTGGGTAAATTCGACCCAATCACTCGCGAAACCTTATATCCACCTCAGCTTGTACCAAATTTGGCCTTAAAAGAAGCTGTAAGAGCGTATCTTGATGAGCACGGTTGGGCTTATAAGATGGATTGACGTTTGGCAAAGACACAGTTTTTGTTTTTTTTTTTTTTTTTTTTTTTNCTCATTTTTTTTTTTTTTTTTTTTTTTTTAAGAACTGTGTGCCTCCGAAAGGCGAAAAGTTACGAGACAACCAAATGGGTTGTTTTCAGATGGGCCGAGCATTTTAGTTATAAACGAGCAACTACAGGCGATTACATAGTTACTTTTGAATTGTATATTAGTGTCTGCTATAGAGCTTGTACATATATTACGTCCTGACATGAAAAAACAATATTTCGAAAGTTCTGAAATTGGCAGTACTTTAAGTTGTTTTGTTTGTTCAGAAGTTGGTATAAGAAGTTGTTTTATTATCATTATAAAAGTTATTATTATTAGGCAAAATTGTGTAACAAATCACAAATTTTATTTCAACTGCAATTCAAGCAAAACTTATCAATTTTGATAGGACAAAAAAGTACCACTACTTTTGTCTACTTTTTCTTCACTTCTCTCATCTTCATCTATCATTTGTCCTCTCAATTCTTTCTGCACCATCACAACTAATAAATTTATGTTTTTGTACTCACATTTCAACCTTCCACGACATTTTCGAGAGATGAAGAACATAGAATTGCTCGTCCTTAAAACTATCACTAATATATCGGGAATTGTGGGTCCACATCATGGGCCCACGATTCGAGCCCTCCAACAATATCCTTAGCTAAAGCAAAACCCATCTCACGAAGTAACTCAACTGCCTTTTGTGAGTCATTTCCCCTTCTGCAAATCACGTACACAGAAGCTTCTTCTCGATTGCTATCACCATTCTTGTTTTTCTCTTCCTCCTTTGCCAAAGCTGCCGATATTTCGGTTATCCTCTCTTTCAGATTTGCTAAAGGTATGTTCAGTGAATTTGTTAGGGAGGTGATTTTGTAGTGATGACAAGGTCGAACGTCGACCAAAACATGTGCCTCGCCTTTCGAGTGTCTTTCTTTGTATTCCTTGCAGGTTATTCTATCCTCCGATGAAAGCAGGTTTAATTTCAGTGGAGACTGCCAATTAAGCGTACAGAATTATGAAAAATCGATAAATTTTACCCAATCATAATTTTTCTAATTACGAATCGCATTCTATGGTAGGTAGAGGAGAAGATTGAGTCGAATATAAAATAACCGAGATGATATGCGCACCGTGGATAGCGGGGATTGAGTGAATTTTTCATAGTCGAAAGTCTGAAAGTGCTGTTCGTTCATTGTCCCATTTTCTCCACATGCTTCACAATGTAATGATCTCCCTCTAATTTTGACCTACAACAAGTTAAAAAGAAAAACTAAATCAGGAAATAATCAATGGTTTATACTGGCATAGATTAAACCGGAAGTGATGACAATTACGAGCTCCTAATGACTCGAAGTGTGAAGCTTGTAATAAGTCAAGTGAGAAAGAAGCATCCCTGATAAGTTAAATTCAAACTTTTTGTTCGACATTCTCAATATACCAATTGACGTGTCCTTATCAAAATAGAGTTGGCAAATGGAATTACTTAAGGAACAAGGGCATAAACTTACAACACGAATTCTAGCAGAAAGTGCATCCAATAGAAGCATTCTTCCTGAAAGTGTCTCTCCAACTCCACTTGCAACTTTTATAGCTTCAAGGGCCTGGAGACACCCGATAATGCCAGGAACTGTATTTTAAATACAAAAAGGGAAAAACACGAAGACAAAATGAAACAGTATTTCAAATCCTGGAAAACACTGAAGTATATAAAGTGAAAATGAGCAGTTGCCTTTTGTTGCTTGTTTCGCATGTTAGAGGGAAGGATTTCAGCATATAGACAGTGGGTACTCTAAGAGCATATATGACATTATAAAATTGAAAAAAATATCATATATTTTAACAAGTTGTGTCTAGACTCCTTAGCATGCAATCGGAACAAACAAAATCCCTCCACCTCCAAAACAAATAAAAACAGATGATAATTAGACAGAATAGAAAAGAAAAGACAATGATTTAATACCACAACGCTTAACCAGATTTTAGCCATGATGATTATATATATTTTTCAAAAGATTCTGAAACGAGTAAAACTTATACATGCTCAATATACCTACTCCAAGAACTCCACTATCTGCACATCTCTGACATGCTGTTGAAGGTGGCGGAGTTGGGAATAGGCATCGATAGCATGGACCTCCATTATAATTGTAAACAGTAAGCTACAGAAGCAAAAGATGATGGATAAATAAATAGCTAATAAGGGCGAGTGCACTCAAGTACACTACAACTAGCTTTAGCTTATAGATTTGGCATTCATAACCATGTGATAATGTATTGGCAGTAAAGTATACCTGTCCCTCCAGTCCGAGTGCAGCTCCAGAAATTAGAGGCTGCATATATAGGAAAGATGTATGGTCAGTAGAAAGAAAGTTCACAAACAAGTACATCTCGGCTGCAAAAAGCCAAACTTATATGAAGATGAACTAACACGAACAATTGAACATAAACAAAATGGAGCAATGTAAGTTCCCTCTAGATATAATTTTTATTTTTTAAAATACAGCAAACAATTCCTTACCTTTCCCAAGGCAACACAGCAATCACTGATCATATAACGACTAGGTACATTGTCGGTTGCATCGACAACAATATCATACCTGGAAAAATAATAAATAGTTCCAAAAATGGAAATTCAGTAATATCAACCACAAACATGAGTTACTACAGGAAAATAGAGAGAAGATATATATACTTTCTCATAATCTCCAAGGCATTGGATGTACGAAATGCTTCCTTGTGCTCCACTATTTGGATGGTAGAGTTAATCCTGAAGATAAAATATTATGAAGAATTAAGCGGTATGAACTGGATGCCACAGTTAACATCTACATTGAAACTGTCCCTCTTAAAATAAAATAATCACATATACTATTTTCTCCCCCCACGTTACTTTAATTCAATGAAAAATAAACTTAACAGAAAATTAACAAGAAGCATACGCGCGACATGAAGCAGCAGCAGATTCTACTTTCGATCTTCCAATATATGATTCAGTATGGATTACCTAGAAAACCATCACAAGAATTGGTCAAGATCATCATTTACTCAAAGGTAATAGCAAGACAATAACATTTTTCGGCCCTATCATAACTATAGCTCAACCTACAATCATCAAGCGCAAAAAAGATACAGGAATCTTAGGGACTGTACTATAAGCTTCATGGGTGNAAAAAAAAAAAGGAAGAAGAATCTCCATTGCATCAACTCTCGCAATGAGAGCAAAACAGCTTTTGTCTACCAACACTAGTCCTTATGATGCTTCCATCCACCCACATTTATCTTCTTGAATCAAAAAATATCTCAGCACTATAAATATTGACGTGGATTTACTAGATGCACCACATTACAAATTTTAGAGCATGGAAGTTGGAATTTTCAAAATTACATCTTTACATCATTTTTCAACTTCCAAATGGCTTTCTTTCCAGTTTCCAACATCCAGCAGCTGAACTAACAAATTGCTTTCCCTCGGACTTGCTTCATTCCCATTTATTTGACATTTAATCGTGTTCGGCAATTGGCAGTAATTAAAATATTCAACCAAACCAAAGAAAAAAGAGAGAAAACATAAAGCAACTGAGACTGATATTATGCTTCCCAATTACCTGCCTATGTAAATTGTTAAGCTCCACAACATCATGGTCGACAATACCCACTCGCCCTGAAATTTTTTTTCATCATAACAGCAATCAATCGCTCTCCAACAGTGGAAGAGCTCTAAAATTGAAAAATTCGCAGAAAGATATTTCTGCATACCTACACCGCAGGCCGCAAGGTAAAGCAGCGCAGGCGCGCCCAAGCCGCCGGCTCCAATAACCAACACCGAAGACCTCAACAAATTCGCCTGCGCATCAACTCCGAACGACGGGAGTATCAGATGACGGCTGTATCTGTATATCATATCTGCCGATAATTGGCCGTCGGAAGGCGTCGCCGTGTGGCGCGGAGCGGCGGTATCTGCCTCCTCGCTTCCATTCTCCGGCATATGATTACTGAGCCGAGCTTGCAGAGCTGATATTCGGTCCTCGATTTGCGCCTTGGCCTTCTCTAAAGAGGCGATTTCCAGGCGGATATCCGCCGCCGCCGTCTCCCTGACTCCGTTGGATTCCATGGCGATAATGCCTAAAATTCGTTTTGTTGCTTAGCTTCGATGGTCAGCTGTATACTGTATTCAGAGCAGGTCCGGAAAAATTGGATGGAAATTTTTTTTTAACCTCCCAGTTTGTCATAAAAACTTTTAAGAGCATGTTTAGATACAAAATCTCTATTTTCTTAAATTTGCCTCAAAATGTAATCGAAATTGACAACTTGCTTCATCGATTAAAATCCTAATATGACATAAAAGAGATTTTAACTCAATTAATGATAAATTTTATATTAATCCTTAAAATTGATTTAGGGATTTTAAAGTCCATGATGAGACGAACAAAATGCGATATGGTTTATCGAATTCTGAAAATTGATACCTCTATAATTGATCCACGAAGATAGTAGGAGCGCGTGTGTATAGAAAAAATTTCAATTCAAGTTTCCTGATAATCAAGATATTCGATTTTCGATTGAGAGGTATCATTTGAAAGCTAGTAGGACAAATTTTATAACGCGCAAATCTTATGAAAATCCAACGGTCGGATTTTGATAAGGATTTAGAAAACTACTGATCAATAGTTAGTTTTTTTGTAGGCTACTAACCCAAATCCGACCGTTGAATTTTCATAAGATTTACTTCGATAGAAAACTCGTCCTACTAGCTTTCAAATGACACATTCCAATCGAAAATCGGATATCTTGATTATCAGAAAACTTGAATTGAAATTTTTTCTATAACATACGTGCTTCTGCTATCTTTGTGGATCGATTTTAGAGGTATCATTTTTCAGAAATCGACAAACCATACCTTATTTTATTCGTCTCGTCATGGGCTTTAAAAGCCCTAAATCAATTTTAAAGATTAATTTAAAATTTATCATTAATTGAGTTAAAAACTCTTTTGTGTCATATTAGGATTTTTAATCGAGGAGGCAAATTGTCAGTTTTGATTACATTGGGAGACTTGTCAAAAAAAAAAAAAGTTTTTATGGCAAACTCAAAAAATGGCATACTTTGGGAGGTTAAAAATTTTTTTCCCAAAATTGTAGATAATGGGCCAAATGACTAAATAGTGTTCATATATTGTTTTTATTAAAACAATTTATTATAGTTTACAATTTGTATATTTAATTTAAATTTTCTTATGAATTTTAAAAAATCCGATGTATTCATTTGAGATTTCTAAAAGTTTTAATAATTTGTGTATCTTATTTGACATTGAAATTTAATAAGATATTTTTAAGATTTTCTAATATTTCATAAAGAAAAACCTAGTATGAAATGCTATCCAAAATATCACCTTAAAACTTAAGATTTTTAAAAATTTATCTTAAATCTCTAAATCTAAATAAGTATCAAATCTCAAGAGGTCTTGAAATGTGTCTTAAATTTCTAGAATAATACGGTGTTCTCCAATAAATCAAATCTATTTACGGTCTTGTTTGGCTATTAGCTGATAGCATATAACAGATGATTATTGTATTAGTGGATTGTAATATCTGATTTGAATAACGGACTGTATTGGTTGTTTGCAAATAATTGTTTGATAAATAATGAATTGTATAGTTATTTTGAAAAAATTACGTTGACATGTTCGATATAAGCCTGATATTGATTATAAACCATACATAAATATCAGTAAATAAAAAATTATAACTGCGTTCTTGACAAACAAGTTCGATTCGTGGTTCAAACTTGATTCATTTAAATAAATGAACGAATTGAAACCTAACTCTAAAAAATTGAATCAAATTGTGTTCAAACTTGATTCATTTAAATAAATGAACAGATTGAAACCTAACTCTAAAAAACTGAATCAAATTGTGTTCGTGAATGACAGTGAGTCTAACAAGTCAAACTAGATACCGATATTAACTGATTTTTGACAAGTTGAATAATTTTTTTACGTCTTGTTAACTAAAAAATCATCTCAACTTTAATCCAATTTAACTATCCTACTTTATATCAATATAATTGTATTATATCAACCATTCATACTGACATACCACATCAATAAAATTTATTATTAATCCACTAACATATTTTAACTAATTATCATTTTCAATCACAAATGTCATACTTTTACATCTCTCTTATTGTTGCATCGCTTCAACTTTAATCAGTTCATTTAAAATATTATCTAAATACGAACTCAGATCTCACTCAATCATCCACTCAACCATTTTTTTTTTCAAAATTGACCACTTTGAAATATATATATATATATATATATATATATTAATTCGCACCCTAATTATACAAAACACCTAAAGTTATTAAGGGCGTTATTGGCTACAAATTAAAATTTATTTTCACTAACCGGATAATATTTTTATATTTTAAACTTAAAATCCAACTTAAATTTATCCCATCCAACTCTATTCAATATGATAAATATAATTAACTAATACCAATTAATTATCTTCACATCACATTAGCTTTAATACAATATTCATGGCTATGTTTAACTACCTATTATTTCTAATAACTGTTCTCATACTTTTACATCACATCAACTTTAATACAATATTTATCGCAATGTTTAATAACATATTATTTATAATAATTTCTCTCATATTTTTACATCACATCAATTTTAATCAATATATTTTAAATATTATTTAAATATAAAGTAAAATTTTAACTCAATCCCCACTCAATTAATTTTATTAAAAAGTAATTCACTTTAATCAATAAATTCAATCAAAACAAGAATAAATTAACTCATTTAACTAATAAATTCAATCAGAACATATATTACTTATATCCAATCACATGAGATTGTAAATAAAATTAAATTCAATTTTGGTTGAATTTATTGAATAAAGTGAGTTAAATTTAAAAAAAAGTTAATTGAGTAGATGATTTTGATTGGAGTACAAATTGTAGTGGTTTTAAATGTATTTTTTATTACAAACAATTTGACGATGGTTTAATGTTTAACATTTTAAGCACTCACATAATACCTTGAATAATGATTTAGTGTTAGCTTGAATAATCTCAATGTAAGACTTATGAAACCGAATAATGATTTTAGTGGTCATATCCTTGTATGGTTCCATTTTGACACTCTTTTCTTCCCAACGTATGATAACAATTTTCAAGTTCCATAAAAATCGAAACAAAAAGATATTAAAAAAAAAAAACGATACAATGAATAAAAATAAAAACTCNAGAGAAGCCAGCACCACAATGCATAAAGAGAGAGACAAGTTTCTCTCTCTTCTCCTCCTCATCCTCCTCTTCACATTATTCTCAACTTCCGTCCACCTAATTGCCGCCGACGATGCGTCTGTCATGGCCCAATTAGCCAAGTCCATCAGCCCAAGCCCACCTGGCTGGACGGGCCCGAATTTCTGCAAATGGCAGGGCATCAGCTGCGACTCCTCGGCCCGCGTCACCTCCATCAACCTCGCATCCAAATCCCTAACCGGCACAATACCCTCCCATCTCACCCAACTCTCCGCCCTCAAAACCCTCAGCCTCCAGCGCAACAAATTATCGGGCCCACTCCCACCCCTCTCCGACCTACCCTCCCTCCAAGAAGCATATCTCGACGAAAACAACTTCGAATCTTTTCCCACGGGCTTCCTCTCGGGCCTCACGAGCCTCCAAACCTTCAGCATACAGAACAACACCAACCTGCCAGCCTGGACAATTCCCGACACGCTCAAAGACTCGTCTTCCCTCACCACCTTCATTGCCAGCAAGGCAAATGTCGTCGGCCAAATCCCGGACATATTCGACTCCCTCCCGAATTTCCAAACCCTCCGGCTTTCATACAACAACATGACGGGCCATCTCCCAGCCTCGTTCGGAAAATCCGGAATGCAGACATTAATGCTCAACAACCAGATGTCAGGATTTTCGGGCCCGCTAATCGTCCTCGGGTCAATGGCCCAACTGCAAACCGTCTGGCTCCAGTCGAATCGATTTTCCGGCCCAATCCCGGATCTCTCGGCCTGCACCGAGCTGACCGACCTTCAGTTACGAGACAACACATTAACCGGCATTGTCCCGGATTCACTCACGAGACTCCCGAAGCTCAAGAATGTGGGCCTGCAGAATAATAAGTTCCAAGGCCCAATGCCGAGGTTTTTGCCGAGTCTCCAGGTCAGCCTCGGGACCACAAACAGCTTCTGCTTATCTTCGCCGGGCCCGTGTGACCCACAAGTGACGGCCTTGCTCGAGGCAGCCCACGCCATGAACTACCCGCCAATACTAGCCGACTCGTGGGAGGGAAATGACCCATGCCAGGACTGGAATTTCGTTACGTGTGAGAAAGGTCGCGTGACAATCGTGAATCTCGGGAGGAAGAATTTTACGGGGATGATTTCCGCATCTTACGCGAATCTGACCGATTTGAAATCTCTCTTCTTGAACGATAACAATCTGTTCAGGACCGTACCTCCGAGCCTCGCGACGCTGACTCATCTCCAGACGCTCGACCTGTCGAACAACAATTTATCCGGGAAAATCCCGACTTTTGCATCGACTGTCACGGTTAAGCTCTCGGGAAACGTGAATATCGGGAAGGACGTGCCGATTGCCTACCCGCCGGAATTTCAAAACGAGAACGACACCACCGCCAACGGAGGAGGAGGAGAAAACGGCTCCTTTGGTGGGTCCCACTCGAAAGTAGTCTCTAATTTGGTCATTGCGATCCCGATCTTTTTCTTTGTTTTCGTGCTTTCGGTCGTGGGAGTTATTATATTCTGCAGACGGAAAAAAAACAAAAACTCGTGGGGAAGTGGGAAGAGCGGGAGAAAAAGCGAGAAGAAGAAAATATCCGGCAACAACGTGGAGGATCAAGAAAATGAAATCATCAAAAGTCCCGTATCAAAATCAAAATCTAAATCATCTAGCCACACGACCGAGAGCCCTCTCCAGACGAGCGACTACCAAATACACGACGGTGGGAATATAACAATCCCGATTGAAGTTCTCCGGGAGGCCACCGATAACTTCAACGAGAAAGCCGTGTTGGGAAAGGGCGGTTTCGGAATTGTGTACCGTGGGAAGCTTCACGATGGCACGCAGATCGCAGTCAAACGGATGGAGTCTTCTATGCTTAGCGATAAGGGTCTGCATGAATTCAAAGCTGAGATTGAGGTTCTCACGAAGGTGAGGCACCGGCATTTGGTGGCTCTACACGGGTTTTGTGATAACGGGAGTGAGAGGCTTTTGGTGTACGAGTACATGACTCAAGGGTGCTTGGGGCAGCATTTGTTCCACTGGAAGGAGATGAAGGGTCCCACGCTCGACTGGAACCAGAGAGTTACTATAGCCTTGGATGTTGCAAGAGGAGTCGAGTATTTGCACAGCTTGGCTCAGCAGAGCTTCATACACAGGGATTTGAAGCCGTCGAATATATTGCTTGGGGATGATATGAGAGCTAAAGTGGCGGATTTCGGGCTGGTGAGGTCAGCGCCGGACGGTAATTACTCTGTGGAGACACGGCTTGCTGGGACGTTCGGTTATCTTGCGCCGGAATACGCGGGTATGTTCTGTTTGTTTTCTGCAAAGAATCTGCTAGATTTTACTAACAAGACAATTTTATTTTTTTTATTCTGTTTGAAAATAATGTCTAAGCTCACAAATAACTGAGGACATGTTTTGAGAGAACTTATAAGCTTGTGTCAACTAGATTTTTCTTCTCCATCACCATGATACTTGCATTAGCTTTTTCTAGAATGTAATAAACGTCTTGCAACCATCATTTCAAACACCACCTTATTTACTCATCACTTACAGCAACAAACGACATTGCTAAGTGCTGACTTATTAGTTATTTTCAAACCTGAAAAAAAAAAAAAAAAAAACAGCCACAGGAAGAGTTACCACAAAAGTAGACGTGTACGCCTTCGGGGTCATCCTCATGGAGATTATCACGGGCCGAAAGGCCCTCGATGACTCCTTAACGGACGAACGAAGCCACCTCGTCACATGGTTTCGACGAATAATCCCCGACAAAGGAGCTGTTCGGTCGGCCCTTGACCCTGTCCTCCTCTCCATCCTCGATGAGGAAACTTTCTCGAGCATTTTAAAGGTTGCTGAGCTGGCGGGCCACTGCACAGCCCGAGAGTCCTATCAAAGGCCCGACATGAGTCATGTTGTCAGCGTGCTCTCGCCTCTTGTGGAGTCATGGAAGCCAGCTGCAGATGAGGAAGATGACGAGGATAGCCTGGGGCTTGATATGAACATGAGCCTCCCGCAAGTGTTGCAAAAATGGAAAGCTAATGAAGATTCTTCTTCTACAATGTCGAGTAGTTTCTTTAATAGTAATACATACCACGGCACCAGCTCTGCCAGCTCTGGTATGAGATGAAAATTGAAATCCCATACAGTGAAAGTCCATAATATATATATGCAGAAGCAGAACTGAGTTATTCATTTCATTAAACAGTATTGTCTACGCTGTTTCTGGGGGGAAA